CCAATTCGAGGAAAGAGGACCTGGTAAGGAAAGAAAATACTGGTAGGCTCAGTGGGAAGACTGGCGAGCCTTTATATAGGAGTGGGAGGTTTTTGCCGTCCTTGATGGCTGAATGCGAGTAGGACGTACCTCGAGGCTTGGCATGCGTCTTCTGATGGATGTTGAGGTTCCTGTGAGGCGTGAATTTCCAAAGGATATAGATGGTTAACTGACCTCTGGAGCTGATTGCCGTTAGGAAGACGGACTGTGACACTCCTAATTAGGTTCCGATAATCCCGACTGACCTTAGTTATCACTGCTAACGACCATTGACCGCGAGGTAGCTGTTTATCGCTCAGTAAAACGACTTCGCCTACGCGTGGTATTCGAGGAGTAGACTTCCCTTGGCGGACTGTGAATGTGTGGCGTTGAGCCACGGCGTTGAGATAGTTCGCTGACCAGACATTCCAAAAATGGTTAAGGACTTCCAGAGTAGATTCGTACCACTCGACTAGGTGTTGTTGCGAATAGTCAAGGTGGGAACCGTCTGGTAGGGGTAGTTGAAGTCGAACTTGAGGAGAAAGGAAGTCAACTGGTCGTAGGATAGTAGGTGAAGATATAGTGTCGGAAATCGATGTGAGGGGCCGTGAATTCAGACACAGCTTCTATTTCGTAGAGGATGGTCTGGAGCTGCTGTAGAGGTAGTGGATAACGGCCAACTGATTTCCTAAGAGCACTTTTGACGAGGCCTACGAGCCTCTCGTAAAATCCGCCTTTCCATGGCGACAACGGTGTGATAAACTTCCACTGAAAACGGTAAGTGCTGGAATGGCTCGAAACGAGCTGTTGCAACACGCTGTTCGCTGCACAAAACGTAGTGGCATTGTCGCTTAGGACGTAATCCGGAGTCCCTCGCCGTGCGATAAAGCGGCGAAATGCAAGTAGGAATTCCTGGGTAGAATTGTCGAGAACGAGTTCCAGGTGGATTGCTCTGGTAGCCATACAGGTAAACAAGGATATCCATACTTTGGACGTTGTAACAGACGTGTCCTTGTACCGAAAGGGACCTAAGTAGTCCAACCCGATATTCTGAAAGGGTCTTGATCGATTGACTCTTTCCGGTGGGAGACTCGGCATAGCTGGATATCTGTAGGCAATCCGTTCATCTTCTTGCAAGGTGACGCAGAATCGCAATACTTTCGCCACAGTGTTCCGTATCGATGGAATGAAGTAGGAACGTCGTAATGTGGCTATCGTAGCATGCACTCCCGAGTGAAATTGGAGGAGGTGTACATGCCGAACGATGAGGCTAACAAGGGGATGTGATGGAACTAGTAGTATAGTTGCAGGTACTGGATTGGCTGCGTGTTCCATACGGTGAGGACAGCGTATAAGACCGTCCGATGACCGATGAGCATTAAACCGGTGTAGAGGCATGCGAGCAAGAAATATCTCGCTTTCCCGATAGTGCTCTTTCACAAGCAGCGTTTCGGCAACTTTGAGTTCCGCTGCGGAAATGTCCTTGGAACAGGCGAATTGACTGGATTCAAAGGTGGATATGGGATAATTGATCCTGGCAGCTAATTGTACAATAAACTTGAGGACATACACAGTTGAACGAGCAAGCCTATTGTACTGACTATGGTACTGGAACCGGAATGGCGACTTGTAAGGAGGTGTATCCGATAGTGAAAGGGTCTGATACTCGTCTTGCACCTCGTCGTCATTCGGTGGGGCAGACGGAAGTTATTCGTTCCTGGCCATTGTGAAGGTGGTAAACGAAGGAATGAAGGACCTGACCACCAAATGTGATCCTTGGCAAGACTGGTCGGTATTCCACGTGACGCACAATCAGCGGGGTTATTCTTCCGAGTTGACATAATAAAACTGAACCGGAATCGAGAGGGAACGAAAACTTTCTGCAATCTTCCGTATCTCCGCAATCCTGTTATTGACAAACGTACGGAGTGGTCTTGAAGAATGGATCCAGTACAGGACTATCTGCGAGTCCGAAAAGAATGTGGATAGCTGCTATTTGCCGATGGAGAGCTGGCTGTAGGACAAATCGAACAAGACGTAGACTGACTAATGTGGCTAACAGTTCCATTCGTGGCATGGTGACCGGTTGACGTGGTCCAAGCAAGGATTTAGCCATGAGAAGATGAACTGTAACCGATGAGCCATTTCGGCATAGGAGGTAAAACACATGAAGCGTATAAACGCTTAGAGGCATCTCCAAACACGCAGAGCTCGTATTGAAGGTCCAATCGACTTGTGGATGGCAAAACACATCTTGGGATTGGTGGAATCGGACTGTTGAGGTCTTGAACAAGCTGATTCCAACGAGCGATGTCCGTGGCATCCAATTGATCGTCCCATTGATACGACTTCGCCCACAGATCTTGCAGAAAGACCTTAAATGGGGCAAGAAATGGGGAAAGGAGTCCCAGGGGATCGAATGTGGATGCTAGAGCTTTTAGAGCCGTCCTTTTGGAGGTGACTGGTCGATGAACCGTCTTGATAGGGACAAGGAGAGTATCCTGAGCTGGTTTCCAGTGGAGCCCTAACAATGATACATGGGTGGAACAGGGCATGCGATCAGGAACATCAATAGCATTATTAACATGCAATGAATTAGAAAGAAATTGTCGTAAATTCATATGCATAGAAGCAAATAATGCTTTGGAATCCTTGTACTTACGTATCGCTTCTTCCACTTCTGTCGCTCCGAGCAGGATATTGTCCACATAGGTGTTGTGTTCTATCTCCTTGTTGAGTATCGAACTGGGATCGCGTCCGAGATAGTACAAGATAGAGGCTGCAAGTAAAAACGGTGACGCTGTAATCCCGAATGGAACTCTGGTGAACCGAAATATGCGAAGATTGTCTTCCGCTGGTGGCTCAAATGGATTTATCAGCCACAGGAATCGAGTAGCATCCCTTTGACTACGTTGCAAGCGAATTTGCAGGAACGCTTTTTCTACGTCAGAAATGAGAAGAATCGGATAAAGACGTGACCTGAGAAGAATTCCCACAAGGTCCGGAAGTATTGATGGACCGGAATGGAGACAATCGTTGAAGGCTAGGCGCTCCTTTATAATGAGAGGAAGCATCGAATACGACTCTAAGTCTGGTGGTAGTAGACGACTTCCTTGACTACGGCTTGGTGTGGAATATAGTAGACTCTATGGTCGTCGAATCGGTGTTCGTCGACTTCTTCGATTATTCCTTTGTCAAGGTAGTCTTGTATCGTCGAGGCGTAGAGTTTCCACAGATCCGGCTTGTTGGTGAAGGATCTGTACTGGCTTTCAAGTCTCTTCAAAGCGAGGAGCTTATTGTCAGCTAGCCTAGGATGGGATTTTCTCCATGGGAATTGCACATAGAGGTATCCATCGACTTCTTGGACTGTGTCTTGGAAACGTTGAAGTACTTGTGCGTCTTCTTCTCGGTCAAAGGAGGGATCTGGGTTGTCGGCGATCCCAATGACGTCTAGATTGTCAAAACGTGATATAGGATCTAAACTATCACTACGGGATAAATGTGCGTCTTCGTCCTGTGATGGAAATAGGACTCGATCAGGATCAGTGTTGAGTTGCTGAAGAGTGGCCACGAAAAAACTTGGACCCTGAGAGGGTTGGTCCAAACCGTGTGTGACAAAGAACTAATCCGGATGGAAGTGTTTGCGTGTCCGGCGTCACAATATCCCAGAAGTAGTCAATACCTACTAGGATATCCGGTGTGACCGTACGAGTGGCCGTAAGTGTTTTGTAGTCGATGTTGAATGTATGGAGGAAAGTGCTTGTCTTTCCTAGTAAGACTTACGGGGGAACACGGAATCGTAATTTTGTCCTTAGTACGGAGGACAAGCTGGAGTTTCTTGTTCTGTTGATCGATAAGGGTGACGTCCGCGATTCCTGAATGTTCCGTTGTACGTATTCCTCCAAAGGTGACTGTGGTGAGTGGAACTGTCTCCGAGACTGCAACTTGAAGCTTGTTAATGGTATCTTGTAGAACGAAGCTTCGTTGGGCACCCGTGTCAAGTAAAAGGGTGACTGACATGGTGCTATTAGCCTGTGGGTTTACGGCTAAGGCTTCCACTGTCATCAGACTGGAGATGGTACTAGTATCCAATGTAGTGGAGAGCTGCGTCGTCGAAGGGTTCCTATCACGGTATACACGCATTAGCTGTTCATATTCCTCGTCGGAATCCAATGCTGCGTAAACCGGGGATTCTTGACGTTGTGTCCGATTTCCTGCAGTAGGACTGCGTTACGGTATGCTATCATCACGTATTGGTGACCGGAAACGGACCGTGCGATGTTCGGACGTTCTCCCTCTATGTGATGTCTCGCCGCGTGGAGAAGTGTGCTGTCTCGTAGGACCCTAATACGTTGAAGGAGAACTTCCACGAGAGGAGGATCTGAAGCTCGTCTTCCGTGGGATGAACTTCTTCGATGATGACGTCCACGGGAATGGCTCCTCGATGTTGAATCAGAGGATTCTCTTCTATAGCGTCTTCTGTTCATTTCGGTGAGGCGGTTTCTTCGAACGTCGTAAGTGCAAACAAGGTGATGGTGTTCTCCACCGCATCGTGAACAGGGTCCTCGACTACAGAGTCTACTGGGATGACCTGGCTTAAAGCATTTCCAACAGAGATTGAGGGAGCTAACAATGATACGACGATTTGCCGGTGGTATATAACGGTGGCAACGTGTCGATGTATGATTGTATGAATTGCAAAAACAACACATCGAGGGGTCGTATCGTGGCTCCGGTGTTGGTGATCGGGAGCTGTTGACGGAAACGGTGTTGGTAGTAAGCTGGGATCCAGATGTAGAGATAGTGCAATCTTCCAGCTTTTCCAACTCTTCGATGACTTCGTTAAGGCCGTCTATAAGCTCTGGTAAAGTCCATGTTTTCCCTGAACGATGTTCCAGTTTGTGGACTTCCAACTGCGTTTCACGAGGGAACTTCTTCAAAATCGTCTTCATGAGTGCCAACGAGGTGGTGGTGTCCTCGTAACGATTGAGTTGCAGAATGAAAGACTGAATTTGGGAAAGTGTGTCCCGTTGTACTGAAGCTGAATGGCTTGACGCTGGCAGCTGTTCCAACCTCTGGTGGAAAAGGTTGTGAGTGAACTTAGGGCGATCGTATCGCCTACGAAGTGCTTGTACAGCAAGTTGGTAGTTTTCTGGCTTCGATGGATCATAGCCTTGAACAATGAGTGCTGCGCTGCCCTTCAACGAATTGGTCAAGTAAATGAACTTGGTCGACAACGAGAGATTGGTGTTGTCATGTACTGCAGTCTTGAATCTGCACCAGAAATCGTAGAACTTCGTGACATCTCCATCAAAGGTTGGCAATTCCAATCGGCGTAGTTGGATCGGCTGTAGCATCGAACTAGGAACGTCTTGATTCGGCATGAGTGGCAGTGCGTCTTGGTTCGGATTGTGATGTTCTGAAGCCTGTTGATCTTCTTGTGGACTGCTCGTATCTGATATGGTCAAAGCGGCAGTGGCAGTAACGACTTCGTCGCTGGGCTGTTGTGACAGGATGTTTTCTAGCGACTCGTCCATAAGAAGTTGCGCATCCACAGCTGTAATAAGGATTTGCGCGTCTTCTAGTAACTTCTCGCCTTGTTGATCATTCCAGAAGCGGTCGACTTCTTGTTGGAGTTCTTCGCAATTCTCCTGGATTCGAACGAAGGACAACAATGCGTCATAACGGACTCTAAGAAGTCCTGATGCGTTTTCTATCGCGCGCGTTTGACAGCAGAATTCACTCCTCTTCGACGTAGAATCGTACGGAGCTGCATCTGCGGTGTCATCTCGGTATTGATCGGCGTCAAATTGCTGGAATCAATAGTAGAAAGCATCTTAGATAATGTACCAACCGCAATCGTTATCCGTGCTTTGTGTCCGCGAAGAGTCGACATAGTGGACAACGTACACCAGGGAGCTGCTATCGTCCTGAAGGGAAAGTAGAATGTAAGTATCCCAGGGTAGGGGAACGAACGAGGTAAACGGAATACACGCAACAAGCGAACGATAAGAGAAAGGAAAAAATAGAGCAAAGTAAATATTAAAGAGGGCAACCACGAATAAACTACAGTGAAGGGGTAATGAGGCAGGCAATAACAGAATGACAGAACGAAGGTATGATAGGAAGGGGGTTATCAAAAAGAGAGTAGATAAAGCAAGCGAATGATGGAAAAATAACTAACATGAGCAACTGAGAGGGTGCGTACACAGTCTAGCGCGTGCAAAAACGCAACTTAGGTCAACACGAAGACTTACATGAAATGCAATGCTCGCAGTGGCACTGGTGTGCTTTCCGCGCCTCAATGGGCCGTGCAGGGCTACTCCGCTCACAACTGCCTCCCCATCTTATCGGCGGGTGGCATTGACCAGCGGCACCCATGTTACCCAAATTGCGGCAATTGCAAGGCGCATAAGGAGCCTACACCACGAACTCACGACACCGGCCGATTTACCCAGCCAGTGCAACCGACGCTGTGCGACTATTACCGAAGGGGACCCCTGCCACTGGTCCCGACGGTAACACTGGTTCTAGGTACGTGAACGGTATGCAAGAGCCCCAGTCGTGACGCTCACGTCAACACTTGCCCACGCGAGAAACTTACCAAAATGCGCTTGTGAACCTACTAGAGGTTGGCGGAGAAATAGCCAACTGCGCCTATGCGCTTACCTTTTGCGAAGGGACGAAGGGTAGTGACGATGCGAACGACAGTAAGTACGTGGCGCGACAGAACGGGATCGATCTCGACAGCCAAAGCCGTCTTTCGACGACAGTGACTGCGGTCGATGCACCATTTTTGTCGTGACCAGGCGCTGACTGAAGAATGCATCGGCGGTGCGTGCACCCGGACCACGGCAAAACGTGGGAGTTGTCGGTGCCCACACACCCTCGCGGGGTCTACCTGTCGCGCTGAATGCTGTAGCCTTGCCACGGGCGATTAGGCCTTACCCCTGTGAGCCTACGGTTATACGCTATAATATTGTACTACGACTATAAGGTAATAAAGGTTATTAACCACTACGTACTATACACAGAGAACTACACGGGTTATTGACCGGTTTATGACTTACGCCACATTGACAATAAAGCATTGACTAAGGGATAGGAAAAACTACGACACATAAGAATACGAGATTAAGCATACCTGACAAGAAGAAGAAGAATAGAAAGAGGTACCACGATCGACATGTTGCGTGTGAGGAGCCCAAGGGTTAGGGTCAGGACGACTGCGCTGGTCCACCGACTTAGGCCGGGCAGATGGCTCTCCGGCGTAGACGAGACGAGCAGGACCAACTGCGCTTGAAGGGTCCAGCCGACGGACTTCATAGACGAACCGGCATTGACGACAGCACTGACGACACTGACTTGAACCGACCGACTGCGCGCGTGACTGGCTTTTCCCGCGCTTCCAGTGCTTTCCATACTTCGCGGTAAGACCGCATGCGACTTCGAATGGAGCGCGGTTTCATCCCGGCGCATATCGTAAACCCCAGGTCGTACGCAAGTCACGACAGTGCTGAATGGCGCCCTTTGGCCTCCTGACGGTGGAGCGCATTTGCTCACGGTGAAGAGGCGTCGAACGGGGAGTGTGAAAATTCGAGGAGTTTTTCTTTTTTACATTTCAGGTAGTTCGGAAGATTCAGGTGGATTTTGGATCGACGTGGCTCCTCCTTCCTAACGAGTGCTCATTTGTTCTCAAACACTTCGGAATGAATAAGTTATTAGGCAAAAAATAAAATTGAAACACAATTTTTACACTCCTCTTTCTAGGGCTATAACTTCCTTCATATTCGAGCTTCTGCGCCGAAGTGATTTGATTTGGAAAATTCAAATTATTCTCTCTCCAACCATGGGTAAAAATTCTTCGAAAGTTAATTTAATAAAAATTTAGTACGTTGTTACTTTTTTCTGTGCAAAGCGACTTTTTGACCTTCAAATGATCATAACTTTGTTCAAAGTCATTCATTTGGGAAGCTGAATACGGTATGGCAAACTACAGGATTCAAGCTTTCTAACGAGCACCCAAGCGTTCCTGAAAGGTCAGCAGTTCAAAAATTAGTCCCGTTGTTACTTTTTTGGGGGTTTGCGTTACTATTTTTTTGGAACCGCGACTTTTTTACCTTCAAACGATCATAACTTCCTTCAAAGTCATTCATTTGGGAAGCTGAACACGGTATGAAAACTACAGGATTCAAGCTTTCTAACGAGCACCCAAAGCGTTCCTGAAAGATCAGCAGTTCAAAAATTAGTCCCGTTGTTACTTTTTTGGGGGTTTGCGTTACTATTTTTTTGGAACCCGACTTTTTTTTACCTTCAAACGATCATAACTTCCTTCAAAGTCATTCATTTGGGAAGCTGAACACGTATAATAAACTACAGGATTCAAGCTTTCTAACGAGCACCAAAGCGTTCCTGAAAGATCAGCAGTTCAAAAATTAGTCCCGTTGTTACTTTTTTTTGAGGGGTATTCTTCAAGCCATTTTCTCGAAAACGCGGGTTTTCTTAGGTTTCACTGCCCGTAACTTCTTGGAAGACCAATTTCATGTTTAACTTAGGATGTGCTAGAAAGCTTCGAGCATGCGCTTGCACTACATCCCTTGCCTTGGTGCGCGCCACGCCTCGGGCGCCCTTCTAATTCGCTGATTCATTTGAAAGCTCATTTAGAGGGAAGCGTGGTTTACAGATGCTCTAGTACCAGTCATCTTACGAAGCGTCAAGAATCCCGCTGCTGCCCACCGAGAGAGTACGAACCCCCACCCTCAATTGAGTACGACCCCGTTGTTAGTTTGTTTTTCTCGTACACTTAGGTTTGCACCGCTCATTTGAATAAGGTAGAGGTGGTCAGTGGAGCAGGGATGAAGAGAACCATTTGAAACGGCCCGAAACCCGAGAAATGGGACCCCTTCCTTGCCCGTTGATTTGCGCATTGATGCGACTCTCATCGCTGTGCCCTCTTCAACACTACGCTCTCTCTGCTATCTGATCACTCGCCACGTATAGACCTGCGGCGAATGATTAGATAGTCGGTGGGCGTTCCCACCAAGTGCGCCAAGAAGAGCCATGCTAGTATGCCGACGTCATAATCTCTTTGGGCTTTCCTGAATTGCGCGTCGTCCTAGCCTACCCCTTAGGAGTTGTCCGCTTCTGTTCTTTGTCCTTCTAATATTAAGTACCTGTCTGTCGCCCGTTCCCTCTTTCACGTATATTGACTCCTTGTCACCCTTTTACATATGATATTTCCTGCAACTTCCTACGGTGTATTTCGATAGAGAGTGCATGAACAATATGTAAGGAAACCTAGAAAAGTAAAAAAACGAGGAATGAGAACGAGCTAGGCTTTTATGGTTGCCGAAAAATGATCTCATTGACGTTGTTTGACTCGTTCCCTACTTGTAAGATCCTTCCCAACCAGATTCGAAGAATTCTGACCAAGTTATACTGAAGGAAGCAGCATTCCTCAAAAAAAAACCCAGAGGCCGAGACGTAAATATGGTGCAGCTATGTTTTCCGAGCGAAGAACGCGTTTACAGGATGACGTGCTCAGGAACCATTCATCTTTGTAGTGCACTTCTTCCGCTTAGGCTACTTTCATAGTTCGCGCCGGTGTCGGTGCCGACGGCGCCGACCGCACCGACAGTGCGAAGAGCGTCAATACGCGCTCTGGCGCATGACGCGTACGTTGGGCGCAGATCGCGCGCTCCGATCGATAATCCTGGTTTTGGTGTATTTCTTGTCTTTTTCGATATTTTTTTGCGCAGTTCTTCCTTTTATTAGTGTGTTTCTGTTGATACTTATTCTTTTATGTCGTGTTGAATAATTTTCACCTGTTCCGCGGGCGAGCGACTTCGTAGAACCCCGTCGTATTCCCCCGGGTGGAAGGGACTCTACCGGGTGAGTTCATCGTAAGCAATTTTGGGGCTAACTTTAGCTTGGGACCACACGGCGGCGCGGCGCTTGCTCGCCTGGCATCTTTTGCGTACTTCGGGAAATCCGTGAGCCAGGGGGACTGTAGGCAGTCTAGGGTGGGGGGTGAGCCAGTCGCTAGATATGCGTGAAAAGCTGGAATGTTCGAGTTTACACTATCTCGCTCGAAAGCGCCAGGTGAATAAAGCGCCGCGCCGCTGCGTTGTCCCCCCAACTAAGCTAGCACCCAATTTTGTTTTTTTCGAGTGGACTCTATAGTTTTAGAAGTTGCTTTTTCTTCGATACGATTTCCTGCTGGTGTGCGAAAGGCCGCCGGATCTTGGTAATTTAATTATTCGCACACCAGCAGGAAATTGTATCGAAGAGAGAAAGCAACTACTGGAAACATACAGTTCACTCGCGCGGAACAACTGAAAAGTATGAAACGAGACATAAAAGAATAAGTATGAGCAGATAACACACGAATAAAAGCAACACGGCGCAAAAAAAAAACATCGAAAAAGACAAGAAATACACCAAAACCAATTATCGATCGGAGCGCGCGATCTGCGCCCAACGTACGCGTCATGCGCCAGAGCGCGTATTGACGCTCTTCGCACTGTCGGTGCGGTCGGCGCCGTCGGCACCGACTGCACCGACCGCACCGACCGCACCGGCGCGAACTATGAAAGCAGCCTTACGTTTGGCTGCAATGGTTTTGCTGAGGGGGTGGAGTAGGAGGGGGTATCATGAGAAGTGCGAGGATTGACCTTTGGGAACTAAAATTCGCGCATTTTCGTTTACTTGGAAGAAACTATTATTAGGTTGTCTCATAAGTAGTGGCGCATTTTTTCAAACGGAAATTTTTCTTGTGAACCTCTAATGTTTTACAATGTTTCATATACCATTCGATAGGAAATTATCTGCTCTACAAGAAGGTATGTACCCTTTTTTTGATTGTTGCAAATTGTTTGAGTTTTAGGCATGCAAAGTGGGAGGTCCGGAACCAGGGTCAACCCTACGTTGTTACGAGTAACAACGGGGGGGGGTCGTACTCAGTTGAGCTTGGAGGGGGGTCGTACCTCTCGGTGGCCGACAGTGGGATTCTTGGTAATATCGGATAATAGCCAGCACGTTACGTTTTCGTAAGATGACTGATACTAGAGCATCTATAAACAACGCTTCCCTCTAAATGAGCTTTCGAATGAATCAGCGAATAAAAGGGCGCCCGAGGCGTGGCGCGCACCAAGGCAAGGGATGTAGTGCAAGCGCATGCTCGAGCTTTCTAGCACATCCTAAATTAAACATAAAATTGGTCTTCCAAGAAGTTACGGGCAGTGAAACCTAAGAAAACTCGCGTTTTCGAGAAAATGGCTTAAAGAATACCCCTCAAAATAAAATAAACACAATCGGCATTTTGCTAATTTTTTGAACTGCTGATCTTTCAGGAACGCTTGGGTGCTCGTTAGAAAGCATTGAAACCTGTAGTTTATTATACGCCGTGTCAGCTTCCCAAACGAATGACTTTGAAGGAAGTTATGATCGTTTGAAGGTAAAAAAGTCGCGGTTCCAAAAAAATAGTAACGACCCCGGCCCCCCCCCACCCCGCCCCCGCCCGGCCCGGCCGGGCGCCGCGCAAACCCCCAAAAAGTAACAACGGGACTAATTTTTGAACTACTGATCTTTCAGGAACGCTTGGGTGCTCGTTAGAAAGCTTGAATCCTGTAGTTTATTATACGTGTTCAGCTTCCCAAATGAATGACTTTGAAGGAAGTTATGATCGTTTGAAGGTCAAAAAGTCGCTTTGCACAGAAAAAAGTAACAACGTACTAAATTTTTATAAATTAACTTTCGAAGAATTTTTACCCATGGTTGGAGAGAGAATAATTTG